ATCCATGAAAAATGATAAAAGCCCAGGAATTGATGGCTACCCCATTGAATTCTTTAAGTTCTTTTGGAGAGATTTAGGCCCATAGGTTAATAGATTTATAAAAGAAACCTTTACAAATAATGAAAAACTATTACAATGAACAGGGGAATTATTACTTGTTTACCTAAATCAAATAGAGACAGAAAATTCCTAAGAAACTGGCGACCTATTTCATTACTAAATCCCCTTTACAAAATAATAAGCACATGTATAGCAAACTGGATTAAATCAACATTAGATACAACTGTACATGACAATCAAACAGGTATACTTGGGAGATGTATGAGTGAAAATATAAGACTTCTATATGATATTGTCTTTGAACTAACAAAACTATCAGTTTGTATCAACTGAACATTAATGTTTAAACTTTGGCTGTGGAAAGGTTGAACATGAAAATCAAAGTACTGCCATGATTGCATTAAACAATCTCCATGTCTCTGCCATTTGAATTTATAACAATTACGATAATTACCGGAATGTATCCCCGTGCAGCATCAGACCATCAGAGAGAGAGATGTAATGCGTGTCTAATGTATGGTGCGGAGTGTACACACACAAAACTGAATTGATCATTCAAATAAATTTAGTAATGTTTACAAAATCATTTTATAAAACTGACAGTGTCTTAGAAAAACAGGACGATTAGTAGATTTGATACCCAGGAGCAAACGATTCGTTTGAATTGAAGACCGTTTTTTCAATTAGTAGTTGCGCTGATTGTATTTTAGCGCTGTCAATAACTCCGTTGCATCATTGCACAGAATCTCCATTGCATCAGAAAGTTGTACCGCCATCTCCAGAACCTTCCACATGTCACGTGTACAGAACATTCTGGCCAAGGTGAGGAATCACGACCTGTCACGCTGATGTCCATATGATCGGTCAACGAGCGGCACAGAAGTTCGCGTCAGCATTAACCAGCGGGTATATCGTGTAGCAGTTGTGATTAAACCATCTCCGAGGAATCGGATAACGAATATGTCCTTTGTCAGCCTTGAGTACACAGCAGGATTAGACAGAACGTCGACTTGCACGATAGCTAGAGGTTCACCTGTAAGCCATTTATATATAATTATCTCTTTGTATTGTTGTGCATGTGATGCTGCAGGCAATGGAGTGGCACCGGAGTGCTGTTAATGAATAGGCAATTTGCTGGCGTGATAGACCCCTTCTCCCCATTCTCCCGTTAGTCAATCCCTCCCAATGCTCTCTCCATTATGGCGGTCGCTTTGCTGCTTGACATAATCTGTGAGACGGCTCAATATAATCCACTGACAGGATCGATGCTCATGTTTCAGTCACTAGTTTCCTGGTCCAGACACGAACATGTATATGTCGCAGGTTGAACAATTTGTTCACAGTACATTCTCACACAAAAAAACAACAACTTCTTTTGAATACAAAATAATTTGTGAGATCATATAATTTGTTTACACTCTATACGTGGTAACGTTCAAAGTATGAATCTGGTCGTCATAATTGCTACCGAGAGTTTAATGGACTGACTGACTGACTGAGTTTGGGTTTACGCCGCTTTTAGCAATATTCCAGCAATATCACGGCGGTGGACACCAGAATTGGGCTTCACTCATTGTGCCCATGTGGGGATTCGAACCCGGGTCTTCGGCGTGACGAACCAACGCTTTAACCATTAGGCTACCCCACCGCCCTTAATGGAGGGCATGACTGAATGTCCGCAAGAATTGCAGAAAAATAGACTGAGTTTACTGAACAGTAAACTATTGGAATATATGCAAATGCATTTTGCCAAATGCAGTAGTATCTGTACTTCTTTCTCTTTCCTGTTAGTAAGGTTCAGTGCAGTTCTTGAAGAGTAGGTTCCAGCTGCCCATGTTTGTCTAAAATGTGGACAGGATTATAGTGCGTGTCCAGGCACTCATACTCAGAAAATTGTTGATCTCGCTATCAATCACTGGTTTGCTTGGCTCAAACAGAAATATTGACCTTTGCCGGGATATAATTGGAATGTCGCTCACCATGGCGTTAAGATTGTTACTCATGCTATTAATCACTGGTTTGCTTGGCTCAAACAGAAATATTGACCTTTCCCGGGATATAATTGGAATGTCGCTTACTGTGTCGTTAAACATCATTCACTCAATCACAGTGCTTCATTGTAGTCACACCAGGTGAACCGAGCATTACGGATTTTTAAGGACAAACAACTTTTGCGTATTTTCTCCTTCTTTAGCACAAATTGTGATTGGTCCAAGTGACCGAACGAAGATGTAAAGATATACGCAGTTGCCAGGGAAGGCAAACTCTGACCTTCATCTGAAGCCCGGCAGGCGTTGATAGTTGCCCATGGTATCGGAAGCAGGTTTCTCTGCCTGATCATGTGACACTCGTCATTTGTCTTTGAGGGTTTGTCTTCTTCTTCTTGATGGTTTATGCTCTTCGTCTTCTGGAAGGTTTGTCCAGCGAGCCCTACATCCTGTTTTCACAACTGGTTACTCACTTCCATTTACTTTGATGGATCTGATGGTCAGACATGGTGACTGGTGGTCAAACATGAGTTCGTTGAATAGTACACCTACTGCCTGCATGCCTGGTCATAACACCAGTCACTGCATTGCAAGGTTCAAACTGAAGCGGATGCTTCCGGTAGACCAAGATATGATGGCCTTTTCACGAACACCTGGTATCATCACTGTTTCATACAACCACTTTCTGTGACTATTTTGCCTTTCATATCCCGTGGAATCTATTAAGGCCAATAATTGAAGTTTGTATTGTTGGCAATTTGAACTGTTCGTCAATTTAACATAACCCCATCCAACTGCTCCCCTGGATGAGCTGATGAGCATAAAAAAACACAAGTTTGGGGTAACCGTAAAAACTAAATTAGTTTTTCATCTTGTAACCGTGACAAGACGCGTTTCCTTCATTAACTCCAATCAGCGAAAGATTAACAATTAACAATGAAATATTTATTCTGCTCTTATACATTCACTCAAAACACGCCATATTACCATTTCTGACTAACGCTAGAAACAGCTGGGCAGGCCACAATGTCAGCATGACCATAGCAAAGAAAGGGATTGTGCTTCACGATGACTTGGAACATAGAATATAACACTGAACACAAACAGTGGATGTTGCAATCGAGCGTTTTGGTCTTATTATTTTATGTACTACATACCTCCTTTTTATCTTATTTTCATCTATAACACCTGCATGTATTGCGTCTAGAGTAGGATGTGTCCGTCTTCTTTGGAGGTTTATTAATCGCGTACATTAAGTATACTGTGTATTAAGTATATTTGTGTAGTATGTATTAAGTATTATACATCTACATGCACATGTTATGTTTTGTGGTTTTAAAATCTGCATTCGTTTCGTTTGTGCATTTTACACTTGCATGTATGTAGTATTTTTGTGAACCTTACATCTGCTTGTATTTGTTTTGTGAATCATAGGCCATGGTGAAAGCATTATATGATTGCAGTAAGGCATTGTTACTGTATTTTACGCATTTGATGCCTGGGTGTATGTAGCGTGTGTTGTGTATGTTAAGTCTGCACTTATGTAGCGTCTTTCGTGCATATGAGACCTGCATGTTTGTGTGCGGTTTGTGCATGCAATGGCAGAATGTGTGGAGATAAACCTGCCTGTATCGAGTAAGGTTTGCGCATGTAAAATATATGAATATGAATATGGTTTGTGCACGTTGTACATGCATGTATGAAGAAGTAAATGCAGGTAATTATGTATGATTTGTGCATGGTTTTACCCGCATGTATGAATATAGTTTATGCAAGCGTTATACCTGTATGTATGGAGTATGATTTGTGCATGTTGTATCTGTAGGTACGGGGTACGGTTTGTGCATGTTAAATCTGTATGAAGTATGGTTTGTTCATGTTATACCTGCATGTATGGAGTATGGTTAGTGGTATATCACTAAATAACTACTGATGGTTCTTTAGTTATGGGAGCGGAAGGTCGCGGGTTCGATTCCCGGCCACGTCATACCAAAAGACGTTAAAATATGGTACTTGTTGGTCCCTGCCTGGCGCTCGGCATTATTGGGTACAACCAGGACTGGTCGGCTCGGAGTCAGTATACAGGTCACAGCTAAAGACCTACCTTTTTGGCCAATACTACAAGTTCCAGCGATAAACTCTCTGCTAGCGCACAGAGCACGGTGAATTGTTGCGCTTTATAAATACATGTATTAATATTATGTTTTACAGATTTAGATGAAAATGCATCAGAAAGGGTTCGGGTGATCCTGGCACAGTCAGGTGGGTAAGGGTTATCATCAGCTCAGGGCCCTCGCCCCCTCTTCACGCAGCCAAAACAGCGAATGGGACTTCTCCCAGGAAACGCTACCTAGTCGAACCCACCAAGAACTTTCCGGAGAATATGTAGACTCCCCAACACTGTAGCCTTCTGCATTACCCAAAGTTTCAGAGGGGCTGTGCTCCCGGTGAAGAACACGGCACACTCCTGATCTGCGCCAAGAGATCAGGAGGTACCACACTATGGGCACCGAGAACAATGGGGAGTCTGACGACAGAGTACTTGGAATGCAAGCGAGACATTTCAAAGGCGAGGTCCTCATGTTTAGCACGCATTTCCTGAATCTTGCCAATCACGTTGCTGTCAAATATTATTATTATTATTATTACTCTCTAGCGTTTACGTTATATTTTCCAGTAATCTATCCGAAGATGAGATTAACTGTGTAACAGGGTCCGTATTCTGTATAAAAAATAATTGAAGCTGGAAAAGTAAAACTATTCTCCATGCAAATGGTGAAGGTTATGATGTATAGAGAACACCAGATGTAATTCAGATGGTATCGGTTTGTCATGTTGATTAACACCGACCATTATTTCTACACACCTATCGACTCCGCCAGATGTCGTGAACAAGCTGAGGTGTCTCATACAGCTCCCACTTAGGCAGATGATCAACATGGAGTAATTGGAGATTAGACATGACATCGACCAGATATTAATGCCGTTAAACATATTAATACATATGTGGCACTTCCACATTAGCGGAACTACATCTGGACATATCCAGCCCGGCGAATCACGATGGTGAGATGAGAGGAATTAGACAGAACCAACGGTATATAGCGTGACAGTCATCGATAGTCTCGCTGCCAGTTGACCCAGCTTGGAGAGGAAGGTCGCACAGACGACAGAGGGTGAGCAGACGACAGTTGCAAGCAGGCGTGAGCAGACAAGTAGAGCTAAAATGGTGACCGGAGAATTCTCCCGCTTTGAGCACTCAGTGGTCGGGATTCTTTACATGCTCTTTGGTAAGTCTGGTGACCAATGTGTTTCTAATGATAATGCTGTTACGTTTTCATGATGTATGTATGTCATTAAGGCCACATTCCCGTCGTTTGTGTCCCTTGTGCAAATTAAATCGCACATTTATAACTGATTGTATTGATATACACTGATATGACATATGACCCTTTTTACCCAGCTGACAATTTCGAAGTCGAATAATGATATTGTATCATACCTTTATATACTGCACTTTCCTGCCCTTTACGCCCAAATTCGGTTCATTTTGTTGGACGAGTGGAACATTCTGGTTGTCTATATCCGCTCCCTGGGAGTAACCAATGCTGTCTACAGATGGTTCTGAAGGTGTTTACTTCCACCTCAAATGCATCATTTTAACATCCATCAACCTCACTTCATGCAAGAACGCTGCAGCCATACCAAGTGTTTTAACGGGTTCTGTCGGTTAAGAGAATATGGTAATTCTATTTGCGCAACTAAAATTTCCAATGTCAAACGCATGCATATATCACAAACAAGACATACATGGTATTCATCCATTTACCTCTCCACACGTACTATATTGATTTATCCAGGTCAACATGGCGATCTGCTCGTTCATAGCCTAAAAATACAGAAGAGATTTAAAGAAAATTATATCACCCTGCTTTGTTTTGTACTTGGCAGATGTTATGATGATTAACTGTTCTCTGGGAAGGGAATCCAAATTAACATTAACGCATCACTTGAGGGAGTATGGAAGTTTGGCATTATATTCTATTGTATGTCACTCTGACCGTAAAGACAGACCAGTGTATTTAATGTAAATGTCATATATCTATTTACACATAGATTCAGATAGGACCTCCGGTTATTAAAGGTGATCCGTAGCTGTAGACTGAAATATAATGTACACATCAAACAATTGGAATGGACAAAAAATACAAACAATTAAAACGAACAAGGGTCAACAGTGGCCGAAAACACTGCAGACATAGGTTCCAAAACAGCAACAGGACATCCCTTTCTAATTCATCACAATGGGATATCCTTTCTTATTTGTTTCACTTTTACCACTACTAGACATTGGTATTCGTTGTCCGGCAGTTTATAATGTTGTAAGGGTATCCTTCTAAGGTATCCTTGAACCCGTCCACCTATAAATGCACTTAAGAGACTATGCTTACCTTATGCTATTGAGTGAGTGAGCTGTGGCCAGCATTGAACAGTATTCCATGTGTATCCAGTGCTGTCAGTGTGGTGTGGAAGGAATATATATAGTGATGCAGGTCCTAGAAGTTTATCTCTCCGGGAAACCCACACTTGATCTATAGTGCTGACTATTCAAGAAAGGTAGTTAGTATGAATCTAGGATTCGAACTCACAATACTGGTTGCAGTACGCCTAGGAACTAATACTGTACGGCGACCTGCAGTTCCTTTGACAACTGTGCCGCCTGCGTTCCGACACTTCATCAAAACAGCCCCCCTCTGAGATATTCCAGGACGATTGCCTTAAGGCAGCGTAAACCTAAACTCACTCACTCACTGTAACAAAACACGGTAGCGTATCGATTGTAGGTATATTTACACACCCCAGAGAATTATTGATATTTATAGAAGCATCTTTCTCCCGCAGTAACTCAACTGATTGTTCCTTGTCATCCCCCAAAGGGAGGCTGCACTCCACGTGTCAAGCTTAATTTAGGTGTCCTATGTCATGATAATGTTGGACTATTGCTACAAACGGCGTAAAACCAGACTCACTCATTCACTCGAAGGTCCCATTCCAAACTGATTCGCCGTCCGAACTTATGCTGCTGGTGCAATACAGACAGTGTATCTGTGGAAGTATTATAACTATCGACCGTTACACCGATTTACATTGAGATCTGAAAATCAGTACGTCAAGGACGTCTTGCCAGGGCTGTTCGAAAGCCTTAAGGTACCACATTGGTATCAGTGACGCCACCTTCAGATGTTTCACACTGCTTTTTTAATTAACGGGTCATTTAGTCCTTATTGTATTTGTCTACATGTCCGCGGTTTATGATCATATTCAATCTAGTACATAATTACATATAGTCTCAATTGCATACAACATAATACGTCACATATCTATAAATAGAATAAGTCGTGTCCATTTCTTACAAGTAACGAGGAGGAATCTGTCAAGGAGATTGCATTTATTTCCGTACGGTCATTTGGTTTTCTCACGTAGAGCAAATGTGAAATATCACTCGTCTCCAACAGCAATCTTTCCTTGTCAATTAGTTCGTTGCTTTGGCAACACATGTGTCAATTGTTGATAACAAGCATCCCTAACTGTACGGCACAGTTTGTGGTGGTCGCTGGCCGGAGCATCAGTCATTAACAACCTAAAATAACTGAGAATGAGTCATATCAATGTATATGCTCAAATGTTTTTTTTTCACTTCTTCATGCTTAAAATGGCGTATATTGAAACACATGAGCAACACAGGTACTTCTAAAGTCAACACGATGTGGTCACCCAAGACGAAAATCAACCTTGCAAAATTATGTTCATTAGCTCACAACGGTCAGTGTGAAACAAAGACTATGACAGTCGGAAATTTCAAACACATCTGTCAAGGACAAAACAACTCACATTATTTCCGTACCCTCATTTGATTTTCTCACGTTGATCTAGAGTGACATATCACTCGTCGCCACAGCAATCTTTCCTTGTCAATTAGCACGTGTTATTGACGACACATGTGTCAACTGTCGCTAACGTGCATAAATAAGTGTACAACACCGACATCAGTCATGGGCAACCCCCTCCACATTAAATAATTGACAATGACTTGGCTAGAACAAGCTGCTTTTGTATTTTCAATATTAACCTATTTATACACAAATATGATAACAGTAATTGACAAAAGTGTCGTTTGTCATTTATGAACGGGCATTTGATTCTATAATAGCTAGATGGTGTCTTCCGGCTCCGGCTTCCTAAGCGCATGTAGTGATTAAAGTCACAATCCTGTTCCAAGTTCCAGATTACACTAAATGCTTTAACGTAGGCATCTGCTCTTCTTTCGCCTGCAGTTACTTCTTGATTAAAATGACCGCCTCCGTGGTGTAGTGGTTAGAGCGTCCGCCCGGAGAGCGGAAGGTCGCGGGTTCGATCCCCGACCGCGTCATACCCAAAAAACGTTAAAATGTGGTACTTGTTGGTCCCTGCCTGGCGCTCGGCATTAATGGGTACAACAAGGACTGGTCGGCTCGGGGTCAGTATAATGTGTCTGAGTGGGGTATTCATGCTTCACTGCGGCGTGGTATCTCAGTGGGCTAGCACTATAAAAACAGCTTAAGTCTGGGCTAGTACAAGCAGCCGCACATCCACATACACACGCATGCACGTCGTCATATGAGCGAAATATTCTCAAGCACGACGTTAAACCCAATTTCACCTCACCTCTTGGTTTAATCTACCGGTCTGTTCTGCCTCCGTATCTCACATAATAGTCTAACTCATTCTGTTAAAGTTCCGATGTCATAGCTACAAAAAGCTGATCAAATATTCTCATCAGATGCAAATATTCTGAGTTTAATGACCTTCACCTGAATAATCGAGAGCATCCTTCAGCAATCTCATAATCTGCATTTTTTATTTCTCAATAATAATGATTTGTATATCCCCAGCACACATTCTTTCTTATGTGTCACGGGGCGGTGGGGTAGCCTAGTGGTTAAAGCGTTGGCTCGTCACGCCATAGACCCGGGTTCGAATCCCCACATGGGTACAATGTGTGAAGCCCATTTCTGGTGTCCCCCGCCGTGATGTTGCTGGAATATTGCTAAAAGCGGCGTAAAACCAAACTCAGTCAGTCAGTCAGTATACTTAATGTACGCGATTAATAAACCTCCATTGAAGACGGACACATCCTACTCTAGACGCAATACATGCAGGTGTTATAGATAAAAATAAGATAAAAAAGGAGGTATGTAGTACATAAAATAATTAGACCAAAACGCTCGATTGCAACATCCACTGTTTGTGTTCAGTGTTATATTCTATGTTCCAAGTCATCGTGAAGCACAATCCCTTTCTTTGCTAAGGTCATGCTAACATTGTGGCCTGCCCAGCTGTTTTTAGCGTTAGATGGTTCGTTCAGTCTTATGTGTCACCCATAGTTACGCATCTTGCAAGAAGGAAACTAAATCATAACTAACCAGATTTTCACTTTCCAACATGTACCCATCCCCTCCACACACACGCACGCACGCACACACACACACTCACAGGCACATACAACGCACACTGTCAGAAACATAAAACACACTCACATAACAAGCAAGCACACGCTCACATTAACGCACACACACGCAAGCACACACACACACACTATGATGCTAATTATATTGCAGCGTTAAATCCTACTCACTATTGCTTGGTATGTTCCGTGACAGGTTGTGTACTTTCCTTGAAGCAGACTATTGAAATGAGTGTGGTTTTTCACTCTGTGTTGCCATGGGGATAAATGTCAGTGTTCTTCAACGATGATCAGAGGAAATATGGTCGTTTCAGGCAACGTGTTTATGCTGAACATATTCGGACATATGTTCCCGGAAGCTTAGGAACTATGTGAAAGAAATGAAATATATCGTTTACCACCTGGATTTTTAATCATGTTTAACCGCTGAAGATATCATACCCTGATCCCTCCTTATGACAATTTGTGCTGGGTGAGTGAGTGAGTTAGAATTGAACGTCGTATCAGCAATGTTTTAGAATATAGTCACCAACTTGTTGCTGAATCCGCAGCATTAGACACAGTTACTTCACCGGGTTTAAATGTCAGTGTCTGCAGTTCTATGTCTGTTCACTCACGCAACCGCCACATGACATGGCAGAGGAAATGAATAAACAGATTCGTTGCCTATATGCTCAGGTTCGGAGAAGACTGGAGCATTTCCACTTCTTTAAGCTAAACGAAACAAATAACATATGAAGTACAGTTTGAAAACATATGCTGAAGACATACTCATTGACAAATGATTTGCTTTCTGAGCCCAAAAAGGAACGGACCGCCTCCGTGGTGTAGTGGTTAGAGCGTCCGCCCTGAGAGCGGAAGGTCGCGGGTTCGATCCCCGACCGCGTCATACCAAAAGACGTTAAAATATGGTACTTGCTGGTCCCTGGCGCTCGGCATTAATGGGTACAACAAGGACTGGTCGGCTCGGAGTCAGTATAATATGTCTGAGTGGGGTATTCATGCTTCACTGCGGCATGGTATCTCAGTGGGCTAGCACTATAAAAAAACAGCTTACGTCTGGGCTAGTACACGCAGCCGCACATACACATACACACGCATGCACGTCGTCATATGAGCGAAATATTCTCGAGCACGACTTAAAACCCAATTTCACCTCACCTCACCCAAAAAGGAACGGCTATAAGATCATCAGAACCTGTACCATTACTGTGAACCTGTACCATTACTGTGTACCATTACTGTGAAACTGTATCATTACTGTGAACCTGTAACATTATTGTGAACCTGTTACATTATTGCGAAGAATGGTCAAGCTTAAACACAGGGAAAAGAGTATTTTATGGATGTCAACTTCTTATTATGAGGAACACATATCCTTAAGTCTTCCTTCAGGTGAATGAGTAAGGATATACTCCGAAACGTTGTGTTCCTCACAATGAAGAAGTTGACATCTATAAAAAAACCTCTCTTCTTTAAGCTTAATGATTTTGTTACGTTTTATAGTTGATGATTTTTATTTTGGGATGTTATTACCTAGTTGTGAAAAGGATAATGGTGCAAGATTCGCTGTTTATGCAATATGAGGGCAGCTGTTGGAGAGGTGACGCCCTCGGGCTAGATGTATGGTTGATTTGAGCTGTAGAACTGGTGTGAATCTCATTAGGCTTGTGACCTTGTTCCAGATGACACTAGACAGAGATTGTAATCTGGATGCAAAAATACTTACGTCAAACAGGAAGCTGGTTAGCATGCTGAACTGGGAATGTAAACTGACCGTTCACCTTTGGAAGGGTTTATTGACTTGTGCACTTTGAAGATGCTTTAAATAGAAATATCAATATCATTATTGCTAATAACAGGTTAATACCAAACGTGTAATTAATAAATACAGGTTAAATGGCTTCTATATCAGATAGTCGATCTATATCGTCGGTGAATATATTTGATTAGTAAAACGTTCATTCTGTCGGTGATTGTCAGGTTGTCTGCTACCACGGGATCCACCGAACTGTATTAAAGGCAATAGACGTACACAATAACAATACAACATCTGTGCGGTCACTTCTAAACCAGTTATCTTTCATTGACAGGTATTGTCGGGGTGATCTCAACTTGATGGTCATTTTGACGTTCCTCAGAGAGAAGGCGTTGCTGAAATCGTCGCGAGCATGGTTACACATCAGTCTTGCTCTTTCTAACATCGGCGTCGTTGGGCCCTCTCCTTTTCCGGCATCGTCAGCGTTCAGTGGCAAGTAAGTCATACTAATATATCTGAGGCTGACATTAGGAACTTGCAGTGGCATGTAAGTCATACCAATATATCTGTGGCTGACATTAGGAACTTGCAGTGGCATGTAAGTCATACCAATATATCTGTGGCTGACATTAGGAACTTACAGTGGCAAGTAAGTCATACCAATATAGTCATACCATGTAAGTCATACGAATATATCTGTGGCTGACATTAGGAACTTACAGTGGCAAGTAAGTCATACTAATATATCTGAGGCTGACATTAGGAACTTGCAGTGGCATGTAAGTCATACCAATATATCTGTGGTTGACATTAGGAACTTGCAGTGGCAAGTAAGTCATACCAGCATGTCTTTGATTTTTATTAGTAACTTACAATGGCAATTATGTCGTACCAACATGTCCGAGGTTGACATTAGCAGCTTACAGTGGCAAGTAGGTTATACCATGTCTGTGGTTGACATTAGCAGCCTACAGTGGCAAGTAGGTTATACCATGTCTGTGGTTGACATTAGCAGCTTACAGTGGCAAGCCACAGTGGCAAGTAGGTTATACCATGTCTGTGGTTGACATTAGCAGCTTACAGTGGCAAGTAGGTTATACCATGTCTGTGGTTGACATTAGCAGCCTACAGTGGCAAGTAGGTTATACCATGTCTGTGGTTGACATTAGCAGCTTACAGTGGCAAGTAGGTTATACCATGTCTGTGGTTGACATTAGCAGGCTTTACAGTGGCAAGTAGGTTATACCATGTCTGTGGTTGACATTAGCAGGCTACAGTGGCAAGTAGGTTATACCATGTCTGTGGTTGACATTAGCAGCCTACAGTGGCAAGTAGGTTATACCATGTCTGTGGTTGACATTAGCAGCTTACAGTGGCAAGTAGGTTATACCATGTCTGTGGTTGACATTAGCAGCCTACAGTGGCAAGTAGGTTATACCATGTCTGTGGTTGACATTAGCAGCTTACAGTGGCAAGTAGGTTATACCATGTCTGTGGTTGACATTAGCAGCTTACAGTGGCAATTATGTCGTACCAACATGTCCGTGGTTGACAATGGCATCTTACAGTGGCAAGTATAAATGTATGTAATACCAACTTGCCTGTGCTTTGCATTAACAACTTACAGTGGCAAGTAAGTCATGTCATACCCATAAGTCTGTGGCTGACATATTAGCAGCTTTTAGTGGTAAGTGCGTAACACCAACATGTATGTGGTTTACATTAGCAACTTACAGTGGCAAATAAATCATGCCAATATATCTGTGGCTTACATTAGCAACTTGAAGTAAATCATACCTACATGTATGTGTTTACATTAGCAAATTTCAGTTAACGATTGTTTGTTAAATTAAAATGGAATATATCAGCTACCAGACTGATTTGTTTCATGCTTGATGTTAAAGCGGGGTAATATACTGATGTGCCACCAAGTTGCCGTTTGAAATATTCGTTTGCTTAGGTGTGTGACTGGGTTAAAAAAATACATCTTCGGTGGAAAAATGCAACAACATCGCTACATGAGACAATATTGAAATGTCTGTTTGGACAGATACTTGTTTATTTGTATAGAGGAAATAATATTTGTGAAAAACTGTATAACATATAAGATATACACATTTAAGTATATTAGGGTAAATGTATATGTTCCACAAATATAAGTGTGGTCTTTATCGTGCCTTATGTTTCAGGTTTCATTTTATTCTGTGGTTTTTTGCAACGAGATAAATTTTATTTTACATTACATTTGAATGTTATAGCAGCATGCTTTAGCATTTGAAACAAGAGTATATTTGCAATACTGGTAGGTGAAACCTTTGGAAAACACGGCTGAGTATTGATTTTATGTCTGTCTAGCCAAGCACTATCTCCTTACTTAATGTTCATAATCATATACAGTTGAGTTTAGGTGGCTGTGCAGCGTTGAGCCCGGTATGCCGGAAACCTTATGGTTGCGGGTTAGATTTTGTCAGCACTGTAATCTTACTTGTGATAAAAGGCCTTCATCATTACGGGCTTCCCTGCAACATTAAGCTGACCCACTGTGATATATGTAATTGGAATACTGTTGAAAGCGACATTAAACCAAATTCCGTCGCTTACTCCAATCGATAATTGTGTAAAGTATGTATTCATAATAATGTTATGTCAACTTAAAGGAGTTTTATCACTAAACACATAGCTTAATATGTCCATTTTATGATGGTCTTAGACGCTCTGTCATTCCTGCATATTACTAAAGCATACATTTCCTTCACGAATAAAATTTAAACATTTGTTTGCATATAAAAATACCCATGTATTATCACTGCTTGCAATGTATTCTTCAGTCTACAGTCACATGTATAATATATATTTCAGGTATAGTATGATGTACGCTGTATCTTTTATCTGGGCCAGTGGCACCCCATAATGGCAATAAACTCATTAAACTAAGCTCATAATTTGTTTCAATCTCAAAACGAAACGATTAAGGTAGTATGTCGTATATGTACTAGTGAGTCAGCACAGTGTAACATCACTTTCTCTGTCACGACGTGTCAAGTGTTAATGTTATGTCCAAAGGGTTGGTGGTGATTTAACACTGAATGTGTACTTAACGAAGCATGTCTCTTTTGGGCAATAAACCTTCTTTGGGTGGCATTTTAAAAGTTGGAATCAGATAGAACAAGTATATATGGATGACAACTTCTTTTATTCTAGAGCACGACGTTTCGATACAGGTTCTTGTATCGTTTTCAAGTAAGAATTATATATATGCTTGTTCTATCTAGGGCACTAAACCGTTCTGCTATTTTGGCAAGATCAAATTTGCTTCACAAACAAATTTCATGTTGTCTGCTGTGTGTTGATTTGACAATATATGCACTTTTAATGTGATGCAAACCTAGATATTAATGGAGCTAGGGGTCCACTTAGGTATTTGCACAAAAGGGTCGGAGGGCAGATGAATGTTTCCTGTGAGGAAACAACGCATGCTCATAAGATTGTGGGTTTCACGAACTGATCTTTTCTGGCTCATGAAATATTCGTTATCATGTGCAGAAATGGAGACATGGACAAGCTTGTATAGGATTCGAACATATAAGGTATCTACCAATGTAAGACTGATTTTTCTCCAAATTAATGTCAATAATAACTAACTTGACACTCTCTGGGTGGATTTGTGTAATGTCCCAGCTATCAAATCCCGCTTTAAATATGTTTCAGACATGCGTAAATACATTTAAAACAAAACCTCAGAACTGAAAAAAGATACCTTATGGTTTACAAGATCATAGGCTTTTAGGATCAATACGAAAGACTGACGCTTTAGAAATAACAGATTCTGCGCTGTCAGACAAAGTATAAAATATGGCTGACACATATAAAAGATGCTTGATTGGGTAAACTTGATGTGGTGGTAAATGTCTAGACAGTCAGCACGCATGCTGCTGACGATTAATGTTCGTATGTTAATGCTCCCTGATGCATGCATGTTCAAGTATGTTTTCATCAATATCATCTTAGTGTAGATCATAGCTAAAAGCATTTTGTTGGAGTGTTGATTATCATCTTGAAGCCTTTCAGAGCAAACTGAGCATGGTTAAAGGTGCAATCGTATTGACGATGACGATGATGCGGACGACGTGATAATACCCACACATTGCATGAAATGTTTGGCTTGCATTCCAAGAACCAAGTTATTTCCCATTGAGACCTTTGCGTTAGGTTTCGTACTTCTAATCCTGATATTGAGGAATCACCCGTGTTAGCTTCCAGGAATCCAGCCCTTCTCTAGGTTGCATGAAGATAGGCCTGAACAGCCTGACTGTCTCCCGAACTCTCAGTGATTCATTTATCTTAATTTATAAACCGTAATGATAAAAGAGACATTACCCTTCCATAGTTAGAAGAAATATTTCCCAAAACTTTAGTTGACTGCATGATGCCGACTGCAACATGATCATGTGTTAAAGGATCCCTTTGCAACAGAACTGACTCTATGTGGGCGCAAAACGTGAGCGTATCCTGTGATACCCGTGACAAACACATGCAAGGGATCACCCGAACCCTCCTTGCAGTTTGTACTTATTTTAGTCTGTAAATAAACATTAAGAAAATAATAACAGGTATGTTCATAGCGTTACATTTTGTCCTGAGTGTGGTGCCAGAATGTAAGCTGCCAAGGCAATAAACAACCTGCGGCGTATAATTCTACTCATTCACTCACATAACTCCTGATCTGGAAAGGTCAGAGTGTTAATGTGCGCCTGTGTATCTCGTGCTCGGCATTAGGAGGCATCACGCCGAATTACTCATCTCGTGCTTAGTAAGAATATTACTGATTGATCGACCTGCAAGATGTGGCACGTTCCCGGAACATGTGAATTGTGCTCTTGGTGCTGCTTACATCTGTGTACTAGACAAGCCACTTTGGTGTATGAATGTAGATTGTGAGTTTGTAGATGTTTTCATGGGATCATTATTGCTACAATCAAAACAAAGATTTTGCTCCAGAATTACTATACTCTGTCCAATGACTAGGCCCCAAAGGTCTTTTGGTGGTATTTAGAAGTGATACACATAAATAAAAGAGTTTTATTGTCAACTTCTTTATTATGAGGAACACAACGTTTCGGAGTATATACTTACTCCATCGTTCACCTGACGTTGTGTTCCTCATAATAAAGAACTTGACATCCATGGAACTCTTTTCCTAAAGTATTCCGTCGCTCAAGTATCATGACACATGGTCAGTGTCAGACCCATCCTTAAAGCAAGTACCCGTGGTTACAATTGGTCTTCAGCAATCCATGCTTGTCGTAGGAAGCGACCAACGGGATCGGGTGGTCAGGCTCGCTGACTTGGTTGACACATGTAGAGATGGTATCCCAGTTGCGGGGGTCGATGCTCATGCTGTTGATAACTGGATTGTTTGGTCCAGACTCGATTATTTACAGACCGCCGCAATATACTGGGATATTGCTGAGTGCCGCGGTAAACAAGACCCAATCCAAACCGTAAAACAAATTGTGAAACATTTAAATCACCTCGCACTCTTCTCTCCCCGCAGATGGCTGTACGGAGAGACTGGATGTCAGCTCTATGCCTTCGAGGGGATGATGATGGGTATCGCTGCCATTGGCAACGTCATCGCTCTGTGCGTGGAACGCTACCTCGTCTCCACACGAAAAGAAGCCAGTGAGTTGACATTATTGATTGGAATGTAAACAAAACCTCTCGTCCTTGAACATGTATTGAATTTCGTTCGCCCACGTAAGTTATCTGAAGGACTTGCGCGCCAACACTGAAAACAATGAGGTGCAAATTAGATATTTCAGTCGTAATGAAACACCTCTGTGTGATGATGGCTTCATTGCAGCTGTATCAGCTTACTGTGGATTTTATATCCAACTACGACTATGGCGAGTGGAGAAGGTAAACACTTGCTTGCCATTTGAATCCGAAAAGTCAGCGGTTGAAATAGTTTCAGCGACTCTTAATAGAATTCTTGAAGGAAAGTTAAGCCTACTCTTGTGCGGGAAATCATTAGTATTGTAATCTAAAATATAATCTCACTCATTCTGGTAACCCACATTTTTTTAGTGGTAAGGTGTGACTCTTATATGTGGCAGCATCCGCTGATTGTAGTGTCAGAACCTATTATGAAACATGGAAGGTGAGCTTCATGGCGGTAGTCATGGGTATCACCCAATTAGGTAATGCATCACTTACGGTTTCTGGTGTGTGTGTGTGTGTGTGTGTGTGTGTGTGTGTGTGTGTGTGTGTGTGTGTGTGTGTGTGTGTGTGTGTGTGTGTGTGTGTGTTAAACGCCAAACTCAGCAGTACTACAGCTGTATGAAGGCTTTCTGTTCTTTTCAGAACCAATTTAGTAACCAGTTTCGACATGGGATGAATTGTACCATTTAACTCGGAAACACCGAAAGCTTTGAACATGTCTTATATTCCAGTGGAGACCAGTCCTGGTGGGTTCTACTGGCTGTCGACAGCTGCTGTGTGGCTCAACGCTTTCTTCTGGGCCATCATGCCAGTCCTTGGCTGGAGCAAGTATGTTACAGTTACAATTGAACCCCCTTAATCAGAACCCCGCTAATGAAAACGCCTGCATTACAAATTTATTACCACAAGGGATAGAACTCCATACTCTATTTTTCGATTTTGCTGGCAATGTATTAATAGTGTCAATTTAATGTCAGGGTTATTTGGGTTTCTGACTGGATCAATGGGGGTTCAGTGCACTGCATTCTTACACTATGCCTTAATGATCAATTAACATTAATGTTAATTGATAACTTAAACAGAATAAGCACACATGCTCATACCACAGTGATGAGGGCAGCAATGCCTTTTAGGCGTTCTCTAATCAGACCGTAGACACGGGTTCTAATCTCTACATTCTTACAATGTGAGTTATGCCCCTTTGAGGCGATCTCTTGCTTTGTTGGAATCTTGAGCTGCGCATAACAGTCGTCATTAAATCGAAGCATTCTCAGAGTTTATGGCTGGGTTTTATAACGGAGACTTTTATAACGAATGTTAATGCTAAGGACGGGGGAAGATTTACATCCTGTAAAAGTAGAACACATAAATCCTACGAATGACTTACGGAATCTCAGTTTGGTCACTGTATGAGCCATGTAACTTAGGATTTTATCTGCATTCACGACTTTGACAGTCGTTCAATGATATTCAGATTGAATATTTAAAGTCGATTTTATTCTACTTGTAAATAGGGCCAAAGGCTAATATTTTGCCAATAGTATATACTTTTTCAAATTACCTGTGCCATACGATTGCTGTCTGTGCTTGATAACTGAGATTCGAGCTTAGAGAGCTGAGTCCGAATCAACATATGACCCTACCCCTTCACGTTTGAATTTACATATAGAAAGATGTATAAGACCTAACGTCCTATTCTCTTCTGTCTTTAATGGACCAGGTGAATATTTACTTTCATATGCAGCTTAACTGATTCTCAATGAAGACCACGTTGAAGCATTCGTAAAATCTTATAACCCCATCCAGTTCTATGCTGTATTGTATTTCTCCCGTAGATTAAAGTAACTGTTTTGTCCTTGTGTTGGATATAATTATTGGCGTGATTAAAATAAACTTGAATAATGAATAAAAAATAGTATTAAAACATAGTGAAAATGGTGTTCAAATCTGCTTTGAACCGAAGTAATTCCTTCATAAACGTATTGCCTGATCTTGACTCGATTAGGGCGGTGGGTTAGCCTAGTTGTTAAAGCGTTCGCTCGTCACGCCGTCACCCGGGTTCGATTATCCACATGGGTACAATGTGTGAATCCCATTTCTGGTGTCCCCCGCCGTGATATTGCTGGAATATTGCTAAAAGCGGCTTTAAACCATACTCACTCACTCACTCACTTGACTCGATTATTTACAGATCGTCGTTATGTAGGTAGAACACAACAAACAAACAAACAGACATTTTGCATATGAACATATTGATTGCAGGTACGTCCACGAGCCAACTGGATCATCCTGCGCCATCAACTGGAGGGATGCTGACGAGGGCTATCCATCCTACATGATAATGCTGTGCATATTCAGTTTCGGGCTGCCCCTGTTCATGGCCCTTTCAAGTCTGTGGGCCTCCGCGGATAGTGGCACGACTATTCAGGTCTCTACTGCATCGTCCAGCCATGTTGACGCGTTCACTGGATTCAGGGAGGACCAGTTGAAATGGGTAAGTGGTTACGTGGTGGGCATTATAGTGTATTGTCTAATATCGCTAACTGTGTTATGACACAGGATGGAAGAAAAATGATCATACGTTGTCTACGACTCTAATGCCTACAGGGAAGAATTACTCTTCCATACTGATCTGGGTCCCAATCCACAAAGGGTTCGTAACGTTACGACCTATCGTAACTCTATACTATATCATTGGCTTACGAATGCTTCGTGGATAGGGTCCCTGATGTGTTTCATTAAAGGTTTTAGTAGAAAATATACATCCAAGCTAATACTCTCATATAGTGAACGGTTGTATTTGAATCACGTGGATTACATTTCGGTATAAGTGTTCATTATGTAATGACGTTACATAGACACGAATGCTACAACCAAAACTGACTCAAACCTTGTATTCATTGGTATTTCTACTCATTTATGATGTGGAGCGAGTCCCTTTGCTTCGGAGACATTTTTAATAAATCAATATAGATCAATAAAGTTCAGCTGACCTGGATATTTTATCTGTGTGCAAGGATAAGAGTAATTTTTCAATCATAACGCGGCAGGGGCGGATACAGCTTTTTAGAACAGTTCGTTCTACCCGTTTTCACGAGAATTTCAATGGTCATTTAATAAACGTTCCGGGCAAAGGGGGTTGGGTGGGGGTGCGCCCCCTTGAAAAACACTCCCCCACCCTACCCCCACACTCCCTGGATGCGCCTGTGCACGGCATAAAGTTCTGCAGCGGCGGGGAGAAGTGACATAGGAAAACGTTTTTATTTCACGTATGAAAACACAGGGCGGGCGAGATTCGGGAAACTAAGACAAAGAATACCGACAGCCTGACGGGTGATGCTTTGTTTGTGACGGAGCAGTTGCGTAACATTTACGTGTGTGATTGAATATAGGTAGCCTTTGCAAACAATTATTGTTTTGGTTCCAGCTGTGCTACTCCCACCTGCTCTTCACCGTCATTGGCTGGGGACCATTTGCCTTCCTGTGTCTGTGGGCGTTGTTCAGCGCCCCAGTCCAAGTCTCCATGATCGCTGCCTGCATCCCTCCCCTCGCCTGCAAGTCCATGGTACTCATGTACCCCTTCTCCTACATCGTGGTCAACGAACGTTTCCGGAACTCCTTCTTCAGCATCTTCTCCCTCACCGGCTCCACTGCTCCGAAGAAGGACTAGCCTGTGGTATATCAACAACTTGCCCATGGAACGACCAAAGATAACTCTAAGACCCTTTTCGCGAACACCTGGTGTTATTTCTGATTTTCTATGATCAGCTCATGTAATTTTCATCACTGTTTTGCCTTATACGCCAAATGGAAACTGTTTTGGTAGACAATCGAGACTGGTTGCCCTCTGGGGTGGACAGGTTTGGACTTGAAGATCTTGAGAAAAAGCATAAAGAGAGGGGCGTGTGTATTGTCAGCAGCCTATCCCGAAATATGGCATTCCTCGCGGAGCTATTCTAACTTCCGCTAAAGGTTACCGATCGAGATTATTTATTTGGTTGAGGCAGGGTGAGTGGGCATTTGTTTCCATGGAGATCGAATGTAGGGAAACTTGCTATGTGATCAGAAGCTGGGCTTTGGACTGCGCTTTACAAGCAGACCAAGCTGCATCCACATATTAGGACGTATAGTTTATTACCACGAAACTGCGAATGGTACAATACTGCACTGTTTAAATATCATACAGTTCATATATGTATCATTACATCGATGTGTCAAAGAAGAATTTCAAAGGTGCTTCGTTTACCATCTGAGAAGAGATCGTATTTACTCACACCTTCTCATCCGATTAAATCGGTCAATGTCTGGTTCAAAACATCCTGTTGAGATCTGTTTTGGGGGAGTAGAGGTTATATATAGAGATATCTCTGGTCGAACTCACTGATGGAAATAACGGTACTTATTCCTATGTTTCTCTGTGAAAGGTATACCCTTACGTTTAACGTTAAGGCTTTGTATGTTTTAATGTACTAGCGGTGTTTTCACGGTGTCTTGTTAATGGATGTGTTTGTTAACTATGTGTATCAATGATCCAGTGGGAAAAGCAACACTGGGATACGTTTGCCAGTTTCTCTCAGGTTGTCTTTCAAAGTAAACTTACGCATTTAGTGAACGCATTTGTGTATAGCGCTGATTCATCTCCCTGCGCAATTCAGCCGCTTGATATAGCTGGAATATAGTGGCTGCACCATTCTCTCACTCTGCGCATTTGTAGCCGTAATACTAAATAAAAGTAGCATTGCTTGTATTTTATTGACGAAGAAGGGGTGTATTTCCTATGTACCTGATGTGTTATGGATGTTTGACGATTGACCGGTTCTGTATTAAATCTTAAGCTGTGTTTCTGTTGTGTAGTTATGTGTTTATGGTGTGTGATGGATGTGAGAGTGTTGTCGTGGCTTTTGTTGACAGTTCTGCAATAAAAATATGAGAATAAGACGTATTTGTTGTGTATAGGCACTTTGATGAATTTGTTTATGAATCGTTGTGCCATGCGGAAAAAGAACCAGGCAACAAAAAATAATTATGGAGGCCGTGATTATATATGCTTAACCACGGTGGTAGTAGCTATTTTCTTTTGCCACAGTGCCAACAATTCATTAACACACACATATCCCAATTGCAGTTTATGTGATGGGTACTGGGTTGTAATAAAGTCATTATACAATAAGATAACGGTTCATTGAAGCTATGTATATACATGTAATTGTAACATATATTTTCCTATCCGCTGAGACATCTACAACTTAAGTAAAAAAACCAGCATTGGTGTTCACGCGAACTAGTGAAACTAGAAAGCCAATGTGGATCCTTCAAATAGTGACTGACAGGACGTATGTCAACAGGAACGACGTTTTATGGATAGACAACGTCTTTATTGCAGTGGACACGACGTTTCGGTGCAGATGGTAACACTTGCTTGATAACAGTTGCAATAAAGAAGTTGTCTATCCATGAACAATCGTTTCTATTCATCATATCAGCATCTAAATGCCACTCTAAGAAGGACTCATGTCAGCCGAGAAGAGATCTGTCCTGTGATGTTCAGTAAATGCCAATGTATTCGTGCACACACAAAATATTAGCATTTTCATACAGTTTTACTTTAAACAATTAAACTATTAACCATGAAACAGCAACTGTGAATTCAGAATTTGAATCTTTGCAAACAACAAATACTTTCTTCTTTTATGAAACAAACTGCAACCGTTCAACAAAGAAGAAATAACATTTTAAGTGTTTAATGATAATTAATATTGTACACCATTATAACGTCTAACATATTGTTCCACAGCAGTCAGGAGGGGGGGTGGGGGTGATCCTAGAATATAAGGGCGGTCTGTAGATGTTCAAGTGGAGGCTAGTCAAACAAAGGGTTATTAGTATGATGGAATTCCCATCCTTCTGTGTACGATGACATGCATCTAGCCATATTCATAGCACTGACCACCCAGTCGGCATTGCAGTTCACTGTCGACAAACATGAGGGGACATATTCGCAACCCGAATCTGTATTCTGGGACCATTCTATTTCAAACCTGATTGGTAAGGTGGCAGTTCTACTGAAGTTCATTAAGAACTTTTTGCGTGTATGGAAATTCAATCACTCTCCTACCCAGAGTTCCATGCGGCCAGCCAGCATAGTACCTCTGCCACAGGCCAGAGAGATGTGACGATTCGTCACATCTTGCACAGTCCATTCAATATGATGTACAGATTTCTAAACTCTTTATTTTTGATGAGTCCACATATCAAATTAAACATAATTGTTAGTGTTGTTTAGTTTCACTGAGAAAATATCCTAAAACATGTAACACTATTTCGATTTGCGTAGCGACCCTTTGTTTACATGGGTTGTACGGCTCCACGTGCTGTCATCGAAGCCAACAGAGAGCAAACGATATGTGTTGTCATAAACCTTACTGTCGCACTTGTAGAAGATTATTTATGCATCAGTGTAAAACATTATGAAGACCGCGTAGAATTGGTTGCGTTGGGCCAGTATCTTCTTACTTACGAATATGTGCGTTTGTTTACAAACAAGAGAAACATCCGGTCTCGTGATATGCAAATTAGCCTGTGGCAGTGATGTTATGCTAAGTCATCGCTGCGCCGGAGTGTGGAAATTCAATATAAACGTAAATACCTGTTCTCAATTGGAGTAGGCACACCGTTTTATACATTTATTCATGTTTATATCTCCATGAATGCAAAGTTTTGCAACATAGTGAATTAATTCTATTTTGATATATTAAACAAATGCATCATCAATAACAAATAGTTTCTGTTGCTAACATTACGAAATGGGTGACATTGTTCGGCCACCTCGGCCATTCTGTTATCGGCCAGTGAGGAAATGGCCCTGCTGCACTTGCGGTCTATTCTTCTTAACGTATGTCGAATCAAACGCACAAAATGGTTTGGTTTACAAATATCACTCACTCACTCACTCACTCATGGTTTGATTGTAATAAATGGTTTGATTTTCCAGTATAAAATTACAGAATCGCTGTTCATTCATTCATTTCATTACCCGTGAAGGTCCGGGTTAGAATATTGGCCTTCAGTAACCCAAGCTTGTCGTAAGAGGAGACTAACGGGGTCGGGTGGTCAGGCTCGCTGACTTAGTTGACACGTCATCGGTTCCCAAATGCGCATATCGATGCTTATGCTGTTGATCACTGGATTGCCTGGTCGATACTCGATTATTTACAGACCACCGCCATATAGCTGGAATATTGCTGAGTGCGGCGTAAAACTAAATTCACTCACTCACTCACTCACTCACTGTCCAACCAGAGAATTAATTTGCCTAATTGCGTCGGTCATGCAGTGTGAGTGACCTGCACAGCCCTGACGTGTACGTCCTGCTTGGAGACGAGCTACTATTGATTAGGAACACTGATGACATCTGTAAGAGCCTTACACTTAAAGTTGTGAGACGAGTAAGCTATTTATCTTCCCAGCGATACTTATGTTATACAATACGTCGTAATCCTGCCATAAATCATTCTTGCTTTCGACCTCAAACGGAACCATTTGACCTACATTGCCGCCACATGACAGAGCAATGGGAGAATGTACATACACTGTACGTGAATAGTGGGACAAGCGGGATATTGATATTTAACGTTCGTAGAAGGTCTCGAGGGACATATAATACATAAAATTAACATTAAAACAGTGAGGTATTGATGGATATTTATGAACGCCGTAGCAAATCGTCCGAAGCCTGGAATTGCCCCCAACTCCCGAGACTGCCCGATAGAATGCTGTCGGTCAGAAGAAGGGGTTCATTCGTATGAAGGCTAGGGCGGAGACTGTGGTTCTGTAATATAAGGTTTAGCGTATGCAGACTGAAAACTGACTGACTGACTGAGTTTGGTTTTAGGCCGCTTTTAGCAATATTCCAGCAACATCACGGCCGGGGACACCAGAAATGGGCTTCACACATTGTACCCATGTGGGGATTCGAACCCGGGTCTTCGGCGTGACGAGCCAGCGCTTTAACCACTAGGCTACCCCACCGCCCCTCAGACTGAAAACAGTTTCAATACATATTTGCTTTTATTAACTGACCTAAGTACATATTTAACAGTTAATTTAGAGTTTCACGTTAGTGCAAGGTAAAACGGTTTGACTTCATTTTGTGTCTGACAATAGTATCCTCGTTCTATTAGGACTGCACATTTGTAGCTGACATAATAATAATATCTGCAGTTTATTTCAAAGACATGTTTCAACGTCTATTTCATGAATATAATTTTAATCACTGCGAAAAAACGTCTGTAAATCTAGCGTTAATTTATCCACGCCCACTTCACAGCACAAAATATACTATCATATTACTATGCAAGTTTCTTTCTACGACATATATTTTCGCTTCATTACTGATGTACATGTGTAGGTATAAGGCAAACGTGGTGTGAAAACATACTCAAAAATCATCAGGGTTTGATGTGTATAACCAAGAGAATTATTCATCATGAATATTTTGGCAGGGTGAGCCTTTTTAACACCCATTTTGCAACACGGCATGGAGATATTTTTTTAATAATATTTTATAATTCTCGCACATGTAACGATATAAATAGGGATCACCATAATCTGCATTGGTTCCAAATCGGAGTCAGCTGCATCTTGAGCTGCTGGAGCATCAGGAAAGATCGAGACATGTGACAATTTTCATTTGGACGATACTGTGTAAAATCTCCATGTTTAATGAATACACATTTAAACAGATCCCATTCTAAAATATTTAGGGCTGCATGTTTAAACATGATCACTAATGTTGAATGTGTGCACAGATATAGGTGACCGGAAGTAGATGAAATGGTGCGGAAACTGGGTTGGTGAGTTCTTTTAGTTTTCAGGCGCGTGGTGTGATATAGGTCAAATGGTTCCGTTTGCAGTAAAAATCAAGAATGATTTATGACAGGATTTAGTCATATAACATCAGCAGCTTTGGGAAGATAAATAGCTTACTCACCTCACAACGTTAAGTGTAAGTGTATTCTTCATCCTTGTTGCTTTCCTCGAGCAGTGTTCAGCTTCCAGTACCAGTTCCAATAAAGGAACAGTTAAACTGGCCAACATGTGTGTTTTGATTGCAGCAGCTGTAAGTGCAGAGTGCAAATGCATATGTGTACATGTATTGGCTGTTGACGGCCTAGTTGTTGTTGAAAAGTATAGCGTAAATACAGTAGTCTATGGGGAAACATATTGAGTGAGTGAGTGAGTTAACATTTGAAGTCACATTGGCAATATTTCAGCCATATCGTGACGGGAAACATTGTCTTGTGTAACCTATACGATGCATTAGATGCTGTAGCGTGTAGAAAGTATTTTTGTTACACAAAATTGTTGTAATAAGCGCCTTCGAGTCAGTGAGTGATCGTGTGTAAAAGTTGGTGGGCGAGTAGGGTGTAAGTATGGTTTTATACCGCTTTTAGCAATAGTCCAGCTATTTAGATTATTTACAGACCGCCGCCATATAGCTGGAATATTGCTGAGAGCGGCGTAAAATTAACCTCACTCACTAACATGGTATTGCAGTTCCAGTTCTGCCTGGTCCCGGAAGTCGAGATATGAACATACTTGTAATAATTTGCGGTTAGCGTTTTTGATTTTGAAACGTTTGGGCAGAGCAAATGTAACTGTGTATACCTTCCAGTCAGGCCATTATGGGTTAATCCTCAGATGGCCTAGAGGTAATTCGGTGAAACGTGGAAATCTGCCAAATGCCGAAAAACATGTAGTTAGACTCAAGCTGAGTGCCGGATATAGAACCTATCTATATTAATTCCACGGGGATCACAGTGTACCATGTAATCCGATATAGCAACTTCCAGATGATGCCACACGGTTTGCTTAATTTAAGATTTTGGAAAATACGTTTTTTCAATAATATTCTATAATTCTCGCATATCGCATATC